TTACTTGAAAGAAAAAGTTTACGCTGCAATTCCTACAACTTGGGAGGACATGGTGGAGCGGATCAGGAACGCCTGTGCGGCGATACCACCCGATATGTTGGCGCGTTGTGTGCCAGAATTCATTACCCGCATTCAAAAATGTGGTGAAATGGAATGACGACATTTCAAACATTTGTTATACATTGTTTTCATAGCCGACTATTGTTGTTAATGTTAATTTTTGTTTTTCAAACGTTTCAAATAATACATTTTACAAGGAAACTCATTTTTCTTAAATTTTGAATTACAGCGCCATCTGTTGATAAATTGAAAAAAACTTTCAAATAAAAGTTATTCATTTTTTTATGTACTACCAAACTCCGTGAAAAAATTTGGGTCATTCCATTTGACTTTCCAAAGTTACCCCCCGTATATATGTATATATATATATCTCCATTATTCGAGCTAAACTGGTAAAACCCCTTAAAGGATTTGTTTTGGGGGTTGCCTAGATTCGATTTTTTCAGATTTGATCCCAGTTCATTTTTTGTGTTGCACAGTGTTATAAAACGCTTGTAGATATAAGTTTTAATTCTAATTTTATTTATTTTATGTTTATTAGGATAAATATTTTTTTAAATGACACATTTTTTTTAACATTCAAAGCACTATTTAAGATTTTTTTTTTTGAGATATAGTCAATTCCATATTAAATGGAAAATTAACTACATATATCTCAAAATCTGTTTTACTTTCTTAACTTTTGACATTTTCGGATTCAGGGGACAATTTTACATAAGAATTGACTGTTAAATTTTGGGATACCATGGTATTCCATGGTTAACCATGGTACAAGTGAAAAAGCAGCAACTATTAAATTAGTCATTTTTGACTAATTCAATTTTAGAGAGTGCTTTTATTTACAAACACCGAAAAAAAATATTCTTATTATTAATATTATTTTCTTGTCATATGACTTTTGAAACTCATTCGTAGATTACACTAGTATTGTTTATTAATTTAAATTAATATTAATATTTAAAAAATTCGAAATACATAATAAATAATAGGAATTGTAAAATAACTTTGTTATTATTAACTTTAGGTATAGGGAATAGTTATATCAATGAAAATGTATTATAATTTTATATTTAATTATGTAAAAATATACAGGGCGTTCCATTGAAAATAAAAAAGTTATTGCTGTTTTAAGTTAGCTACATTCACATTGTTTTTTATCAAGTATCTTTTTAGAAATATTAAAATAAATTACATGGAATCTTTAAAAGAATGCTTCAGGATTCCAATAAATCCAACCGGATATCAGCAAACCTAATAATAAAAAAGTTATAAGCTCTTTTTGTTGAGGGTGAAACTGACCGAATTTTACAAAAAAAATTAATAACTCAAAAACTACTAAGTTTAGGTATAGGACATGATATAGACATTTTATAAGAAATGATAGTAGGAATTTAAAAATGTAAAAAAAATTATGATGATCCATTTAAAATAACAAAGTTGATATCACTTCCGTTAAAACCGGAAGAGGAATTTTGTTCAAAATAATTTAGAAATATAGTTTAAATGATATTATAATTGCTATAAAAATTTCAATTCGAAATCTTTTGCCGTTCTCCATAAACGTCTAACCTACCATCGACCGTGATACACCCTGTATATATACGTATTAGGGTGTTTAAAAAAAACAATTATTTTTTTTCTAATGGTGTGGAAAAATTAATAGTACATTAAAAAACAAAAATTTTGGCGCTTATTTGAGCCCTTAATATTAATATTAAGGTTAACCTGAGACTGTATATATATATATATAGGTACATATGTATACATATGTATATATAAATCAAAAAAAAAGTTTACAGTCTCAGGTTAACAGAATTAAAGTGATTTTACATAAAAAATAATATAAATATGGCATATGATATTTTTTTGTATTTTATTTGAAAATATTTGAAATTTTTTATTAGTGTTATTTTTGATCACTGGTATCTTTGAAACGGTTGATCTGAAGAACTTTGACCTTCAGATGTTTTTTGTAGAGCGTGAAATTGTCGATAACTCCTCTCGCTTGGGTGTTGCGAAAACAAACCATTCCAAAGTTATAAGAATTCAAAATTAAAAAAATAAAAATTCCCCTGTTATTGAAATGGAAAAACAACAAATGAATTGAGGCAAACCTTAATATTAATATTAAGGGCTCAAATAGGCGCCAAAATTTTTGTTTTTTAATGTACTATTAATTTTTTAACACCATTAGAAAAAAAATTGTTTTTTTTAAACACCCTAATATGTATATTAATATATATTGCCTATTGATTAGTGATTAATAATGGTTAACATAGCGTAAATAAAGTACAAATCGAGGCTTTTACGGCAGTATCTCAAACTGACATTTAATGAAAATGCGTTTACAATGTTATGTATACCTAAGTTAGTTTTAAATGTTTATATATCGTGCTTACTTTTAAGTTGGCAAACCTGCGGTAGTTTGTTTGCATATTTCAAAAAGAAACGGTGGTAAAAAAGATTCTTATTTTCATAAATTTGATTGAGTTAACCACTGGTTATTATTGAATACACAACAGTAAACATACTTCCACACATATACATTTGGTTAAAGTAGGGGAAGTGAAAATTACACGGGTGATTGCATTGAGGAAATGCGTGGCGGCATTGTCGGTTTAAAAAAATACCATATTTTTGCTCCTTTTTGGGAAGTACAATAATTACTTTTTAATAAATTTTATATAAATGGTATAAAAATAGTGGATTATGTCATAAGGAGTAGAAGTGACTCTTTTTGTGGTGAGTACAGAGATTGACGGCCGAAGCGTAGCTGAGGCAGGCAACTGTACGAAGCACAAAAAGAGCTTCTACTCCAAATAACATAATATGTTATTTGGAGTAGAAGCTATATTATACTATTTTTTTTCAAGGGCGTAATATAAATAGGATAAGCAATAATAGTTATTTATGTCATTAGGTTAAGAAGTAAGGCTTTTTGTGCTAAGCTCAAAATTTGAAGGCCGACGCGTAGCGGAGGCCTACAATTGAGCGAAGCACAAAAAGACACTTCTTGGTCGAATGGCATACAACATTTTATCTTCAAAGCACTTTATATAGGTCAATTTAATTCAACATGAAAGCGGCCTAACCTCACTTTTTTAGAATCTCATTTATTTATTAGCTAAAGATTACATTAAATGTACAATAATTATTATACCTTTTAGAAGCAGTAATAGTTTGACAATACCTATAGGTAGCTATAGCTACATGATTTAAGTAGAAATGGATTTTTGTAAGAAAATGGTTTACTTACCCTCTTCCTATTACATTGAATTCAATTAATTGTTTAATAAATAGGTATCTAATTTCATTTTGTTTGCATTTTTATTAAAAAAATAGGTAGTTTGGAATGTTTACGCTGTGTTTAACATTTAATTTCACTGAAAACTTAAAGCAAATTAAAACTTAAAAATAATTTAAATCGTAGAAAAAGAAAACACAACTGTGAAATCCACAGAAACGTCAAATTGCAATGTCCTAACCTCACTTTTTGGTTTGTTATTCATATTTAATTTTACAATAATTTAATAAAAAATAATAAACATTAACAGTAAAACAAACAAATTAGTGCTTATTATAAATAAATTAAACCAGTTTAGTACGTTAATTTCTTAGAAAAGGATTAATTTGTCAAAACAATACCCCTAGCGAGAGAACTAATTACTTGCCTCATAAAAATTTTTATCGGCCTAGGCCATAACAAGTTATTTCTTTATCGAATGTTGACAACAATAAAGTTTAAATTATAGACCGCGTGGAGATAAAATAATTTTATTTACTTAAATTTACATTACTTAAATGTACAATTACACACACTGCATCTCTTCAATTAAATCACTCATTTGGGATAAAATTTTGGCTAAAAGCATTAGAAAATATTGAAAAAAACTAAAAAAAATTATAACCCTTACTTACAATGCCGATAAATATCCTAAACTAAAAATAAACACTGCTCTGTCAAAATGCTGCGCTTGAATTAATTTTGACGTACTGACATTTGTTTGGAGTTCCGACATTGGCGACTCGTCTATCATCATAATATTATACTAATAAACTAGTTGTTCTTTACTTCGTTCAATTAAAATTTAATAAATAATCACTAAATATTCCGTGCGATTATAATTACTATAATTAATACATTGTGATTGCTTTGTATGAAATGCTAAATTAATTTTATTATTTGACGTCTATCTTAGTCACCTATGGATTTACTTCTATCCCTAGGCTTTTTTGAGTTTTTTGTCTGCCGCTAATAAAAAAGACGCACTTCAACTATATGCATATATATATATATCATGGCCGCTTGAAAAAAAAGCATTAAACAATAATAAACACACAAAATGATATTTTAGATTTTAGGCATGTTTATAACAGCAAGAATTTGGCACTACCACGATAGCCAAAAGGTTTTTATCATCTATAGATATACTAATATGTACATGTTTTTTTATAATGAACCATTCTTTTTGTTTTCTGTTGTATACCAATTGTTTTGGCATTTACATAATATTCATGCCACTTTTTGCTTTTTATAAAGTCAATCCTCAGAAATTTATTTAAGCTTTTATTTTACTAGAGGCACAAATTTTAAATTTTAAACATAATTTTAAAAACTTACGCTGTTTATGGTTTCATAAAAGTAAAAACTATCAAATAATTAGGTTATGTTCGTGCTTTTGGGAAGACAAAGATAAAGTGAAACAAGGATGGCTAAATAGTTCTCTTGCAAAGTCTACCCTATTTTCATATTTATACAACTCTTCTGGTTCTTGCAATATTTCGTGGAAATCCCCCTAAGTATTACAATTTCCTTCTTAAAGTATAATTTAAACAATTTTGGCTATACTAGTTCAAAATAAGAATATTCTTTGTAAATGAATGACTATAAAAAATATGTATTAATATAATATTAGTTTATTTATATATAATTTACATGTTTAGTTTAGCATGGAATCAATATTAAAGCCTCTACTGTTTCCGTAACCACCCATATTTGGATAATTATCATTCCTTTTATTTGCTTTCTCGAGATCCTCCCGGTTCGCACTTTTCCTTTTTCTTCTTGAATTTGGGTTTGGTGAAGCGGGTTTTTCCACATTAGCCTCCTTTTGATTCTGGTTTAACATTGTGTTCAAACAATCCTTTGGAGATAATCCTGAAGATTTTTGCATTACCATCAAATCTTGCATTGGTTGTAGAATCTCACTCATCCTTAAGTAGTTTAATGTCGAATTTGTCACACCTTGTGACGTAATATTTTTGGAGATTTGTTCGAACATACCTTGGTTTTGTTGAAATTGCATTCCCAATATAGATCTTGAAATTAATTCACCAAATGATCGTGCATTAAAATGCCATGACTTTATCTTCAATGTTGTCGAAAAATGAATAATTAAACTGCCTTCTGTGCACACCTTGGTAAATAAAGGTACGCTGTGGTGTGTTGTGACAGTGCAGTGGTCAGTACGTAACAAAAATCCTGTGTTATTGTATGATTCCTGGGTGTGCCGTAGACTATATGTTAAATCTGTGACACCACCCTCATATATGCTCTTAAAATATCTAGGAATCAAAGTTCTTTTAACTTTAAAAGACTTGTTCTCGTTGTCCATATTAAAACTAATCGTCAAGGTTGCATCGTCTTCAAAGAACTCGGAGGCGAAAACATCCCACCATTGGTTATCTGCATTTTCTGGCCTTTGTTGTAACAACTTATTTAACTCAAAAACTTTATATTCAGGTTTTGGCTTTGGTCTCTGCACATAGGTAGGCATTCTTTGGATCATATGAGGTTGTTGTTGTGGCATTTCAAAACCAGAGTGCCCCACGTACTCTTGTCTAGGCGCGTTGGGAATCGGAATTTGTTGTTGTCTTATCCCCATGTGTTGAAAATTAATGTTTCTATTGCTTACATCCGGTCTCAAACCATATGGCATTTGTTGTGGGAATCCTTGCTGCATAAACGGATATCCTTGTTGAGGCATTTGAAATCTTTGTGATTTTTTATCCATATCTCCCATTTTTATTGGCATTACTGAAATAATAGCAAATTGTTAGAAAAATAAATTGTATTTGATGAAAGATTACTTACTTTATTACGAGTACAATGAAACTAAGAATTATTGTTTCTTTTTCTAGTGGTCCTTTGGATTTAGTCATGTTTATGTTATAATAGTTGTACTTATAGGTGTTTATTACTAATTAAGGTATAATTTTTAGTTGCACAATATTAGGTTTTAGGTAATATAATTAAATAATTGTCGGTTTCCCCTAAATATAGGTAGATAAATTTTATAACTTACCTGTTTTAAAGTTTAATAAATATAATTGTAAAAACATGAACTACTGAATAAAAATAAAATTAAAAAAAAACACATATTTAAAAATGGAATTCACCGTACAGCATTAGAAGTAAACACATATTAATTGACTATCTAATTTTTTGTATTGTTTTTTAATAAAAAAAGGCCGAGTATTTTCATATTATATTAACATAGTTACTGTAATCATGTGATTTGTATGGGGCGCAATGTGTTCCATAATTATTTCGTACGATATATAAAATATTTTGCAGGAAAAACTATATATAAGTAAAATTTACTACAATTTTGCATATATATTAAAAATAAAAGTTTTATATATATTGAATTTGGCACCATGCAAAGTTGGATATAAAACTTTTTTCGTTTAAAAAGTCCCCGGGCGATGGCGATACCTTTCTTTATGATTTGTATAGTGTGTTGCATATACTTTATGAACGTATTCGAATTTAAAAAAAAAACATCTTTCTCTAAAAGAATAATTACTTAAAATACCTACCTTTTATTAATAAGTATAATAACAGCTGTATAAATTACAAACCAACCGCCGTTATCTAAAAAAAACGTGAGCGAAAGATGTTTTTTTAAATTCGAATACGTTCATAAAGTATATGCAACATACTATACAAATCATAAAGAAAGGTAGCGCCATCGCTTGGGGACTTTTTAAACGAAAAGAGTTTTATATCGAACTTCGCATGGTGCCAAATTCAATATATATAAAACTTTTATTTTTAATATATATGCAAAATTGTAGTAAATTTTACTTATATATAGTTTTTCCTGCAAAATATTTTATATATCGTACGAAATAATTATGGAACACATGGCGCCCCATAGATTTGCACCATAAAAATATACTCCATAGTTTTATAACTTTTTGGTATTTTAGTCTGGTATATGAAACGTTATAATCACTTTTGACTTAAAGTTGTCTAAACTTTAAAGTGAATTATAAAATGTAACGGCAACCAAACCACATCACCTAAATATTACTTAGAAGTGGTAGTAGTAGTAAAGAGTTTAACCAGTTTTGGCAAGTTTCACATTTTTTTCCAAACTTAAAATGTCAATTGCGGTTGTCCTTACCACTTTCTTGCTTCAAAGTGATTTACGTTTACGTTTCGAACTTTAAAGTTTTTTTTTAAAAAGCAGACAATACTAATAAATAATTGAAGGCCTCTAGGTAAATAGTTTTTAGGTCCGCTGAAGTTACAGATTTTTGTAGTTTAATTTAATTATTGTTAATTTTATGTTTTCGGACTATTCTAATTCAAGTTAATGTTTGTAAGTTTCATAAAAAGCAGGATTAAAGTATTAAAGTTTCGCTTCAGTTTTGACTACTATAACCCCAAGTTTTAGAATTGCAATCACAACGTGGCATAAACATGTCTGTAAAGTAACAGACACTAAAAAAGTGTTCCTCATTTTAGTCACTAGAGACCGTATAGGTATATTACGTGGCAGTGATTTTGGCGGTATCATTTACAGTTCCATCCACTAACAATGCTAATGGGAGGTGTCTATGTAAAAACTAAATTGCTCTTTTTTATTAAAAAAAATAATTTTAAAACATGTCACCGGTTTTTTTTTCAGTTTTCTAATATATAGTTATTATTTGTAATTTTAATTGAGTATACATTATAACTGTGTATTTTCTCTTTGAAACACTAAAAAAAAAATAATTACTGTGTCTTTTCCTTGTGCGTGTTTTAAAAAAAAAATGTACTTTTGTTTGTCTAAATTGTGCAGACAGTGGTGGTGACTACCTGGATGATTTTTTTGAAATTTTTATTTTTTATTAACCAATCAAAGCACTGTATTCTCTGTTGCAATCTAGAGTGCGTTGTTGCTCTGATTGGCAAATCACTTTCGATAAAACAACTTTCAACAGATAGTAAATTACTAAATTTCAGGATCACTGCACTAAGCATTTCTTTTTGATCATTACAGCTTAAAACAAGTTGTTGTTTGTTACAATAGAATCTTATTTAGCAAAGAGGCACTCTCATTTACCGCTACTAGGCCCCTAAAGTAAGGCAAATAATGGCCATTACACTTGCCCAGAGTCAAGGTATATTATCTGGTTACCTGATTTAACTACTATTTTATTTAATATGATGCCAAGAAAAAAAATAATAAAATAAAAAAATAAGCAATGAATTTATCAATAAATTTAGAAAATCAGTCCAGACCTATTTTGACGGCATACTGGGTGCACTAATTAGACTAAAGTTGCCTTTAGACCAAATTACGAAATTAAAAATTAAATAAAAAATCCGCGATTCTTAAATAATGAAAATAAACATAAACAAAAATCGTTTTAACTTCATTATTTCTGGGAATTAAAAAAAAGTAATTACTTAAGTTTTGCATATAAACATACAGGGGCGTACCGAGGCACACTTTTTTGGGGGGGTGGAGACGATAAAAAAACCAACTTATTTTTTTATCGATACTTTAGTAGTAATAGTAAAAATTTTCAGTAGTTTTATCATGAATGTAAAGTGTTGTAAAGTGTAGATAAAAAATGTCTTTACCTACCATTAGCATGCTCTTTTGAAGTCTCTATTTTTTTATTTGCTACCAATGTAAGTGGATTATCCAAAACAGTAACAATTTTAATTTTAACCAAATTTCCACCGTGAATATTTTCCTCGTGCATTTTTTTCTAGTCCTTGTTAAACACAGATCCACTAATGAGCATTTTACTAGAACTCGGCCCGGTCTAGCTTTCTTTTCCATATTAAAAAAAAATTAATTCCTATTTATTGACACTAGTTTTACTTAGCTTAGATAAGCTTCAACTAATTAATAATTTAGAAAGACAAAGCCGCGAAGCGGTGCCGACTTTGTACATATGTATATGCCGCTTGTGTGAAATATAATGTCCTTTAATAAAAATAAGGTTGACCAATACAATTTTCTTGACGGTAACGATTATAGGAGGTTACAATAGATTAAAAATTATAATTTTGTAATATGTAGGTAAAGTTATTATATTTCATTTTATTTATTGTGATGGGTTGGTTGGTAGGGTAGGTATACGGTATACCCAACCAACCGACCCAAATACTATAGATTTTGCCAACCGTGTTTGGATTTGGAACCAACTGCTAAGACTTTGGGGGGGTGACTCCCCCCCTACACCCCCCTTAGGCCCGGCCCTGTAAACATACACTACACTACACTACATTTTTATTCCATTTGTGATTTTTTTCGCTTACTGGATATTGAGATACCACCACCATCTTTTGGCCGCCATATTGGATTTTTAAATTAGATAGATAACAAATAAAAAAACCCAATGATGTATCAACCTACATTAGTTATGACGGCAATTTTATAAAAAAAGATGGTGATAACTCAAAACATAGTAGCGAAGAAATTGGATGAAAATGTAGATTAATGTGTATGTTTACATGTAAAACTGACTTTGTTTAAAAATTCTTAGGAATAACAAAGTTATAACGATTTTTGTTTTGAAACGTTTTTAGTTTTTTTCTAATAGTTTTGAGAACCGCTGGCATTTTTTTTTAATTTACAAATTTCATATTAAAAGGCTTGTAATAACGCAAAATTTCCGTTTAATCGACCTTGTAGCTCTTCAAGTTAACACATAGAAGTATACTTAGTGCACCCTGCAGAAGAACAATTATTGTGGAGGGTCCATATTGACCCTCCACAATAATTGTTCTTCATATATATAAATATCGTGACGCTTAAAATGGTCAAAATTGACCCCCCCACTCGGGACAGATTGTGAGGGGGTCTTTCTCTGAAGGTATTGTGACGAAATATCGAACTCCCCTACCCCCTAAAAATATTTTTTCCAGTTCTTTTTTTGTAATTATCTGACTAAAAATGAAAAAAAAATAAGCAATGTTATTCGATTTCCTTTGTCATGTGACGTTTTTATAAACCCTCCCCACTCGGGGTGACAAATCGTAACGAGATTTATGGACGGGCACAGTCTACGATTTTTTAATGAAAAATGATATTATAATGGTATATTAAAGAACTAATGTCATAAGACGTCATTTTGTCGCACGAGGGCAATTTATAAAACGAGCGACGAAGAAGAGAGTTTTGTAATGGACGAGTGCGACAAAAGGTCTTATGACATGAGTTCCTTATGCTATTATATCTATTTTTCAAAAATTCTATAAAAAAAAATAATTTTATACCTATATATTATTATATATCTTATATTTAATTTGGTCGAATTCACAGTCATTGGTTTGAAGGGTTAATGTCAAAATCGATTCGCCATGGCGTCCTTAATTTACTTATTTATAATAAGCGGCTGGATTTTCTTTGGTGATAAACAAAATTTATTGCCAGAAAAGTGTCGTAAGTACTAGAAAAATCATAAAAATATTTTAACCAATATGCCAAATATTATTTTACTAGTATGCTGTTTTAAGTAGCCAACCTGTAAAATCAAAATTATGGGTGGGGTAAAGGACCTCATTACAGCACAGAAAGCAGTGTTACAATGAAGTCATTGTGATAAAAATAATTTATTGGGGTGCTTTATAGTAAACGTGGTAATATTAGGATCTTAAGTCTTAAAGTAGTTAGGTACCTATTAATAAGTAGGTAAGATTTAATACCAATTAGTAAACAAAAATTAACTTTTAGTTCATAAAATGTCGTTTTGTAATGAGTTTGAGATGTATACTAAAATAACTTGGTAC